AGTTGCATGTATTTGCACAACGAATGCATAATGTAAATTAGGGCTGCACGATAAATCGCATGCGATATTTAATGCGCATCTTGCCAGTAAAGCCGGTTCTGTAATCAGCGGTAAATCTCCATCATGTGCGTGCTTTCACATGGAACAGCAATTACTATACAGAGCCATTGTTCACTGACTAGCTGCGCAAAACATGCGCAAAATATGATCGTGGTTTTGCTCAGCTTGTCAGTGAACAACTGTGTACGCACGTGATGGAGATTTACCGCTGATTACAGAACCGGCTTTACTGGCAAGATGCGCATTAAATATCACATGCGATTTATCGTGCAGCCCTAATGTAAATAGCCTACTGTACAGAAAGTATATAAATTATAAAAATAAAAAAACATAACCCAAGTACAGGTTAGGCCTGCAATATTATGACAAAAATCATTATTGTTTATTATTGCTTTTGTTATTGTAATAATGATTAAGATTTTTGTGTTTGGGGAAATGGCGCATAATATTCTGACTACACTGACAAAATAAGCTAAGAACCATTAATGAGTTAGTTTATATTGTTTTACGCATTAGAAAATCAAGACTTGCATTGGTTATTTTAGAAACATGAAAAAAAAACTGTTAAACAAAATGGAAATAATATGCATAAAACAAGCAAAAAAACATTCCACATCACTGAAGCGGTCCATGACTTCAGTCTAGCAAGAGTTATGCACTCTCACAAAAACTCCCGTTGCAATCACTGAATCTGTCTACACTGCAAAATTAATCTTTTACATTGTATTTGCAGTTTGTGCGTGTGCTGAACAAAACTCCGATATTTTCAGTGGTGATTGGCCTTTGCATTCATAAATTCAACAGAAACTTGTGTAATTTGGTTATAATACTCAGCGCTGCAAAGAAAAAAAAATGTGTAAAAAGAAATCTGATGCCGTGTGAGGAGATCTAAATGTAATGCCGCAATCAACACTTTTCATTTACAGTACGTTCATGTTTCACTTTAATCGCGACAACCATAATAGAACTATACAGGGGCATTTTTTTGCCCCCTTGTCTTAAATTTTGTTCTTTTTGGTGGCATTTTTGCCCCAAACCCCTGTTAATTTCTGACCCTGGTATAGAACCAAGCGGTTGTACCTCAAGGTTACGCCAAGGCCGCAGAATGTTCTCCCAGGCATTGCGTGTGCTTCCCCAGCACTAATTCTGCAAGGACCCGGTGTTCCTTATTCAGAACGATGGGATAGAGAGATATGCATTTTTTTTTTGTCCGTGGCTGCGCGATATTAACCTCAGCTCTAATTCCCTGTGTCAGCTGTGGGCAGGGATAGCGAGGCGTGATAACTTAATGCGCCAGCCCCGGATCCTGCTGACTCAAGCACAGCATGTGTTTTTCTGCGCCTTTCCTTGCTCAGGGCAACGCTTCAGAAATCTAAACAAGATGTATGCGTTGCCTCCGTCCCGTGTGCACTCCTAAATAGTTTGTCACTGCCACTTTAAAATTGGATGTGAATTGTGCTCCTGGGAAGGTGGCTGAGATGAAAACTCATCTGGATGTAAACATGTGGCAGGCAGTTAAGTGTGATAGGTGTGTTGGTGGTTAATTAGCAGAGGATAGCGACTGAGACTGTGTTTGCGTGTGTGTTATCGTGGCCTCGGCCTCATGCCTTTTGTTTATCTGGCACACGGTCAGGCTGCAGCTGCGTCGGCCCGAGCCGATGTGTGTGTGCTCACATCTGCCTGCTCCTCTCCCGCTAATCAGAGCAGATTACACTCCGCAATTAGTCTCCCTACAGTTCATCACACCACGCCAAGACCAGAGCTCTCATCACCTCAAAATCAGCCACACTTGGCAGCAAAAGGCGACTGCCGAATGTATAAGATCTCAAGCAAACTCTTAGCCTGCGGAGCAAGGAAAGAGAGAGATCTTAGGAAAGGTAACTCTCGTTCCCCTGTCTTCTCTTGCCAGCGACATATTCTACATCTGTTATCCGTGCTTGCTGTTTATGCTCGAATATGTGTTTATGGAGGGGAGGTTTATACGCCTGTGTGTCCTCCGCTCTTGACAGGGCCCGTTAATCTGTCTAGATCAAATAAAAGTCGTCGGAGATGATAAATCCTGCTTGAGACCATCAGCTTGAGACCCCAAGCTTTGCCGTTGCTAGGCAACTGTGTCAGAGGAGCATTGTCAGATTGCGTGGCTCCACTTTTCCGCCAAAGCTTTGGCAGAAGGTACAAACACCTGATTCCCTCAGATTAGGCAGCCTTTAAGGAAGTGTGTGCCTGCCACTGATCAAACTCTGGCTCCCGCTGATGAGCGCATGAGTGAGGCAGAGAGAGATTGAGAAGAACAGGATATGTATATTCTGATTTCCTCTGTCTCCTGCCCAGGTTTGAGAAGGATTCATGCTTTCTGTAGATTTATGTCTCTGCTAGATTCAGGACATGAAAAAAGTCTCTGAAAGTTTCTGACATAAGTCTCTTATGCTAAGCAAGGCTGCATATATTTGACCAGAAATACAGTAAAAATAGTGAAATATTACAATTTCAAATAACAGTTTTCTAATAGATTTTAAAATGTAAATTATTCCTGTGACGACAAAGCTGAATTTTCAGCAGCCATTACACCAGTCTGATTTTTCAGAAATCATTCTAATATGCTGATTTGTTGCTCACGAAATGTTTCTTATTATCGTCAATGCTGAAAAAAGTTGGCTGCTTAATTTTTTTTTTTTGAAACCATAATACATTTTTCAGGATTCTTTGAGGAATAGAAAGTTCAAAGGACATAATTTATTTGAAATATAAATATTTTATTAACATTATAAATGTCTTTACTGACACTTTTGATCAATGATGGAGACACTCAACATTTAAAGGCTGAGATACACTCTAAATTATTGAGATGGGAAGAAATAAGGAATTTCAGATATTCATTCATTCAAATGATTTCAGCTTATTAATAATTTAATCGATTGTTATTTTGTCCTTGATGTAGTTTCAGTAGTGGTGTTGTGCCACTGTCAGAATATTTTAATAAGTTGTTCCACATTGGCGGCATGCTGGGAAACTGGAGTACTGCCTCCAGCATTGCAAACATCACAGTAGGACTGTATTAAGGTAAATGTGTGCAATTATTGCTGTTTTTCAGTTAATTTTGCTGCCATACATTGGACTATGTAAACTGAGTTAGTGTATCATAAACTTGTGTAATCTCACTCGTTCTCTCTACATTCACCTTTTATGAAGGTTTTTAAACAGTTCTTTTCAGAAGAACATCTGGAGTATCAGTTAACCCATTTCTCAGTCTTTTTTGAAAAACATATCTGTAAAGGCAGAATGCAATGTTCAGTCTGAATAGATATATTCTAAAATGCACAGATAAGATTATTTTCCATGAGAACCTACGGGTGAGGGACTTGAGTTGAGCGTTGAATTATCAGTATCATGGATTGTCTGTTCATGACATAGCAGCTGTTTTCTATCATTCCTGCATTCATGAAGAGTCTGTGTTTTGCAAATGACAGCTGCGTTCATTTGTATTTTCACCTGGGTCAAATTTTAGTTTGCGCCACGGGCACAATTTCCATTTAATAATGCCACAATGCTAAAAAAAAAATGGGGGAAAAACTGTTGACACAAGTATTTACAATTTAATGGTGTTCACCTTTGCATATGTTCTGTTTAATTGAGGAATAAATAATTTGCAACCATTTAACCTTAACTGCAAATCAAATGCAATGAATAATATTTTAATTATGCTGCGCCAGCACTACCGGCGTGTGAGTATTTGTGCGTGCACGTTTATGCGTGTGTGATTTTGACTGCCTAAATTTAGTGCTGCAGAGAGCAGCTGTTTTACTCACCTCATTAAGGGCTGCATCCTTTTCAGATGAACCGTGCAGCTCATGCTAAAATCAGCCATCAATGCACATGCAGCACTGCTTTTACACACACAAAAATATATATGCTTATACTTAAGGTGACCTCACATAGACTGTATCATTTTAAAAGACTACATGAACTCCAAAATGTACTGTTTCTATATATAACAGTTTGAGATCATTAAGATTTTTTAAAAAATAAATTAATAATTTTATTCTAATTATACATGTGTGAAATATGCATGTGTGAAGTATGAATACAGTTTTTTTTTTACAACATCAGCCATGTTGTTGTTGCCAATGATGACTCCTCTCCTGTAGCCTTATGGGATAGTAAAGTGGATACTAGGAATTTTTTCTCCTACTGTTTTTTGCATACTGTAAAGTCAGAGGCATATTCAGATACAAGGACACCTTTTGGCAATATTAGCTTTAAAAATGACATGATTTCCCTCTTTCATTAGCCTTTTTAAAGTCTTTTCACATATATTTTTGAGGACATTTTCATACATTTGCGCTTTACAAGCATTGTGAAAGACAAGCACATAAACAAAATGACCTCTTTCTCAAGGCTGCTTGACAACATAATAGATCTTGGTTTATATGAAACGTGAATGAATGTGGAGTGATCATGTTTTAAAGAAGAGCAGGTCAAATGAGCAGGAGAGCTTAAGAATCTCGCTCACATGCTCCCACTGACCCCGCTATCACTGAGACGGCTTTGTTTAGCGCTGATATGGAACCTCTTCCTCTGGTTCTAACTGTACCATGAGCTTAATTCAGGAGTGCCGCCTGCCACAATGATGAATGATAGCTTATCTCCGTGACCACAGTTGACCTCTGGGACATATTCAGCTGGAGTGTAAGGGTCAGGGTTTGTCGACATTGTGGGGGCCGGCGAATGACCCAATAAAGAAAATGGCTCAATAAAGATACTAAATATGTCTTAAAGTAAATGCAAAGAGGTTTTTGCGAGGACTTGGTTTAGGTTTACAGGATAGAAAATCTCATTAGCTCAGTTGGAAAGTGCTCAGCATGATTGAAAGGTGTAGGTATTTCTATTTATCATAACTATTTTACATTAACATTTATGTTTTGTTTCTGTTTATGTCCCAGGAGGATGCTGGGTGATTAGAGGTGGATCCTGAGGTACAAGAGATGGTATTATCATCGGTACGTGAATGAATGTTTCTGATCCAGGCTTGGTGATTAAAGATAAAGACTGCTTTACAACCTCATCTAACAGGATTTCTGCGGAAAGTCGGGAATCTCTCTCCTGGGTCATGGTGTGCCCCGTGTGTGAGGGATAGAGAGTTGTGTCCTACACTGAACTGTGATTTACTGACTTGATGGTCTCTCTCTCTCCCTCGAAGGACTTCAACATCACCTTGGTCTTCTCTCAGTCCAGTGCTCGCTCCGATAACATCAGTCTCCACTAAGGGAGGCTTATCACTGAGCCAGGCCTGCCATTGTGTTTATGGCTGTGCTTTGAATCAGTGAGACCCCTCTAATATATATCTGCAGGGCTCGTAAAGGAACTGGTGTATAGCTTTTATTGACTCCTCTGGAAGACATTGGAGATGTAGATCAAAAGGAATGTGCTCTGAAATGCTTGCGGTCGGGGACGAATATACTTTCATTTAAGAACGAGCGGTTTGCATGCTGTCTTCCCCTTTGAGTAGTAAATGTAGAAAAAGGACGCTGTGTCTGTGCGGTTGCTGTTTGTTTTAGAGTCAATTGCTTTGCTCCGAAACCTAGTGAGGCAGCATATTAAGGCGAAGTTTGTTCCAAAAACGTAGTGCTTCCTAAATTAACTTGTTTTAGCCAAGTTCTAATGCTGCAGCGCATGTAACGTTCACAGAGGATGCAATCCCAGAATGCATTGCAACAAGTTCAGTGGAGAAAATACCGTATTAGCCCGTAAAAAAAATAATAATGAACTTACATTTTATTCAGTACTGAAAAGTATCTGTACAAATATTTCTGTGTAATTTAAAAATTTATTGTTTTTTTACACTATTTTTTATGTACTCTTATGCTTATGAGGCCATGTCTCAAATGGCACATTTGATCTGTACTTGCAGTCTTTACTTATTTCTATTTACATAACATTTACAAAAAATATATTTTTTATGTTTTTCAAATTAATATATTAATATTTTTTATTTATACATTTGGTTTATATTTATATTTTTATTCATATTTGACATTTTTTGCTCCTTTTTGCTTTTTATTTATAAAACAGTTGAGTGTAGACAGAAAAGTAGGAATGCAAGAGGAGGAGTGAGTTCGGAAACCAGTGTTATTTTATAATATATAGTTTTTAATTTATTTTTAATTAGCTTTTGATTTTTATATTTTATATTTTCGTTTCAATTTTAGTTTATTATTTAGTAATTTTATTGTGTGTTTTGTCACTTTTTTTTGTTTTTGTAAAACATCTTTTAATTTTTATTTATTTATGTTTTTCAGTTAGTAAGTTTAGTAGTTGGGCTTAAATTTATTTCAGTTATTTGCCAAGACATTCTAATTTTCATCTACTTTAGGTTTTTCATCTAATATTTATTTTTGTTTCAATTTTAGTTTATTATTTAGTAATTTTATTGTGTGTTTTGTCACTTTTTTTTGTTTTTGTAAAACATCTTTTAATTTTAATTTATTTATTTATGTTTTTCAGTTAGTAAGTTTAGTAGTTGGGCTTAAATTTATTTCAGTTATTTGCCAAGGCATTCTAATTTTCATCTACTTTAGGTTTTTCATCTAATATTTATTTTTGTTAATTAAAATAAAGCTTATTTTAATAGTTTTAGTTAATGATAACACTAATCTGGACATGACCCAGGCCATTAGCATTAGTTTGCCAAACCCTATTGAAATTGAGTCTTCCATGAGTTTTTTTTTTAATGTAACAAATAGTTGCCAAACCCTTTTGAAATTGAGTTTTCCTTTTTTTTTTTTTTTTTTTTTTGGTTGACGCCTTTGTAGACCATTCCAAATGAGTCACAAGTTTTTAGAATGCTGACTTAAAAGGCAGTATGCATTGAGGCAGCTCACTAGGGTTTGGAAGAGTACGTATGTCTCTGTTTATGGCGTACTGTATAGCCGCTGCTCTTACTCCCTCTCTCTCTCTCTCGGTCGGTAATAAATGCTCCCGCTGCAGGCTCCCAGAGGTAGTCAGACTGGAACAATTATAATCTTCCCAGTGCACCCGAGACCGCGGCCCCACCTGCATGTAACACCATTAATTGCATTGTTACGTGTTATTGTATCGAATGGCACTGCCGTCTTGAGTGCTGTTTACTAATGAAACGCATTGCGCAGCGAGACAGTTTGTGCCCGTTTATCGTGGCTATTAAACCTAAAGCAGCCATACTCTGATCCCTCCCTCCTTTTGGGATTGAAGAAGAAGAAAGAAAGAAAAACTACAACTGAAGAGTTCCCGTGAGGCGCACCTTCATTAGGAGCCTGTTAGAGCGGCCTGAGTGAACAGGAAGAAGTTTCCTTTCCCCTACCTGCACATACCCTCAGAAAATGAAGTTCTTCAGTGGTTCATTGCAGCACCTTAACTTTAGCAAAGAACCCTTTTCTTGTTTGGAACCAGATTTTTGCTGTATAGTAAGATTGTCGTGGTACTACAGTTTCAGTAGTCAATACTGGTGAAATTTTACGATTTTCAGTACCACAGTGGAAACAAATATTCTGTTCAATTTAATTCACATATATACAATAAGTAGCATTTCAAAGAAGCTTTACAGATTGTTTTCTTGTTTCTAATTGTTTCTGCAATTGAGAGTAATCTGTTATTGAAGGTGACTGTGCAAAAGGTGACAAAAGTAATATCCATATGACAGAAATGAAAAAGCAATGAAGCAATGAGCACATGTTGTGAATATGCTATTGAGCAAACTTTTTATTTAAAATGTTAATATTATTTTAATATTAACATTAAATTTCAAATATTAAGTAATCAAATTTATGTAACTATTTAAATGTAACTACTTTATTTATTGTATTATTATTTATTTATTTACTTTATTATTATGCATAGTCTTCACTGCATGATCGCTAGATATAATACAATATTGATTTGATATGACAGATAAGCAAGCTGTACATTTTATTAAATTTTTCTTTAGGCCATACTTTGTATTCATGTGTGATTTTTTTTTTCAGCCCAAGATGTAATTATTTTTTATTTAATTGCATTTTAATCAGGTAACTGACTGTCTGTTCATCAATATTCTGACAATACTTTTTGATCAAATAATGCATTTTAATGTTGCAAGTTTTGGTCACTTGATATCCAGAACTTTTGATATCCATGTAAAAGGTGCTTGAGTTAGCTGTTTGTGCGGATATAAATTCTTGATGCTATATTTAAAAATTTTTTTTCATATAAGTATTTTGGATTCTGGAGTCTATATAGCACCAGTACATAGATAGCTTTCTTAAAAAAAAAAAAAGAATACGAAGTTCGTTTAGGAGCTTAAAACATTATTCAGTGGCATCGGGCTAGTGAAACCCTTTTTGTTTCTAAACTTTTTTATTTTTTGTAGGTCTGTCTAAACTTGGTATCCGATTGTGGCCTGCTGATCACACTCTAAAAAATGCTGGGTTGTTTCAACCCAACTTTGGGTCAAATATGGACTAACCCAACTGTTGGGTTAAATTTTTACATTAAATTTTTAACCCAAAAGTTGGGTTAGTCCATATTTGACCCAAAGTTGGGTTGAAACAACCCAGCATTTTTTAGAGTGCAGCTGAATTGAGTGGTTTGGGTGAGCAGTGTCTTAATTTTCATTAAGTGCCCTCTCCCCTTGAGGCCCTGCATCCTTGGACTCAGCTGCTAACTGGGTTTCCCTTGTCACCGATACACAGGCAAATTCAATTTCCTGTCTCCCGGGTGTTCTCCACAAGCCCTGAGTTCACGCTCGCAACAACAGGGACTTACTCCATCATACTGCAGCCCCAGGTTGAGCGTGGTGACTAGGATACAGTTACCCATCATCCTCCCAAGTTTCCTGTTGAGATATGCCTGTACATGTGTTTGAGAGTTGTGCGGACGTTTTTCTCTGCTCGCACCTCTGTCATTGGGATTAGATTAGCCTGTTCTCTCTTGCCTGGATGCTTTGCTGTATTAGCTGAGCCCCAGCAGGGCAGTGGCATTCATGGGGAGATGGCCGGTTTCTACAATAGAGATAAAGCTGCTGGATTTCAAATCACACTATGCTCACTGACCTTCTGTGAAATGTTAAACCTCAGCCCAGCTCGACCGCCGCGCAAGCATCACGGCGAAGATATAAACCTATGGGAGAAGAATTCTGAGGGAATTTGAATGTCAAGGTGTGTGTCTATGGTTTAAAAGCTCCATGGTAGCCGGGTCCATTTGATTTGCGGTGTGATAAAACCGGGCTTTGCGGTGTAGCGGGTCATATGCATCAACGCAGCAGCTCTGTCAGATTCGCTATCGTCGAATGCGGTTCATCTCTGCTGGGTTGGGAGCGGCAGCCATTCTGATTGTATCACCGTATGTCCCCTCCGGCCCCATGCAGGCCTGTCCTGGGTGGTGGTTGCTTAATGGTTGAAGATCATAACTGCTATCAGAAAGGTCCCTGGTTTAATTCAAAGTAGAAGCTGAAATCATAATCCTGCTATGTTACAGTTTGGTCATTGCCCTGCATGGGTTTCCAGTTGCTGATGTTGTTGGTGCTGATATATATGTGTGTGTATATGTAAATCTAAAATTGTACATATTTTATTATGCATTTTATAAAAATATTACATAAATTTACATTCATTTAAAAATTTATTAATTTATTAAAACATTAATTTAATAATTCATGTTTTAAATATTTATTTTTAGATTTACATTATAAATACACATTACCATATGTATTTTCTTCTCATTTATATAGGATGGCGGGCCACTGGTCCCCTGAAGTGCCGTGGGCCAAAGAAGATGAGCTGCTGCTGCATAGCTGCCGGGAACATATTTCGGGGCTTGATGTTGCAGGGCGGGGCCATGGTGGGGGATTTTTGACAAAATCCTAATATTAAACTGCCCAAACTCTTATAGAATAACATACACATGAAGACAGAGTTATATGCGAACCAATATATATTTGTACTTTTGTGATTTTAGTTCAAGAATTTTTTCTTTAATATTTCTATTA